CTAAGGATCTGAGTTTGATCCTCAGAACCTACAGTAAGTAGAAGGAGAGAACCAACGCTTGAAAATGTCCTCCACACTCACACCTGCACATGCGCGCGCACGCACGCACACACACACACACACACACACACACACACACGTGGGGAATAAGAAGTAGAATAAAATTCTGCAGTCTTGAGTCTTCCATCTTTTAATTTAGGTCCCTTTGCATCTCTACACAAATTAGTAGAATCTATCAACTTGCCTGCTGAGGTTTTGATTGATATTGTATTCACCCTATAGATCAATCTAAAAAGAATGAACAATATTGAGTCCAGGTTATGAGTGTAATCTCTCTCTCCATTTATTTATATTAAAAACATTCCCACAGGGCATAGTGGTGCAAACCTTTAATCCCAGCACCCAGGAGGCAGAAGCAGGTGGATCTCTGTGAGTTTGAGGACAGCCTGGTCTACATAGTAAATTTCAAGACAGCCAGGACTACATAATGAGACCCTGTTTCTAAATAAATATTCTCTCAGCAAGGTTTTTAGTTTATGGATATTAAACATTTGTCAATTTTTTTCCTAAATGTTGTGTGGAGTTTTCTCGTATTTTTCAATTTCTTTTTAAGCTGTGGTAAGTTACATAAGCAGATTATTTCAAAAAATTTCAGCTGGGTGTGGTGGCATACCTCTAATTCCAACAGTCTGGAGGCTGAGACAGAAGGAATGCCACATCTTTGAAGCTAGCCTGGGCTTCATAATAAGACCCTGTCCCAAAAGTGATGTGAAAGCGTGGTTCCTCTGAGGATGGCAGGTGACAACAAAAGGGACACATGGGGTCACAGTGATGTGCTCACCTGCTCCTGGTCCGTCAGCAACTGTGATGGACCACTGTTCTCTGCACTTAGTGTTATCCCCCATGTACACTACACTTACTGAAACGAAACTAAAAAAGAAACTGTGTGTGTATTTACTAAAACTGAACTAAGAAAGGAAGATGTGTTTTCAAAAGTAGGGGGGACCCCAGCTCTAACAAACAGTGTTTATTATGAAATTTGATGTGGGGCTGAGCATGTAGCCTCAGTGGTAGAGTGCTTGCCCAAGCCTGTGTGGAGGCACTTGGTTTGATCCTCAGCATGGGTAGAGGTAGGGTTATAAATACCTCCCTAAGTGTAACTCAGAAACAAGCTTGTTACAGCTTTTCCTCTCACAAAATTCCAGTGAAGTTGTTTCTGTTACTCCCGTTTTACAAATGAGGGGAACAGACACAGAAGAGGAAGTTAGTAAGTCTTCTAATTCCAGGGCCCCAGCTCTAAAACAGTATAGCATGGGGTTATGACGAGGATGGTGCGCCATTTGAAGTGACAGTGGGTCTCAGGTACATGTCTTCTTCCTAAGGAAACACTCACGTGAAGGGTGGTAACTACAAAGTAGGAGCTGCCAGAGTCCCCCTGAGCACTTGGTCAAGACGTATTTCTAATGACCCAGTGTTTTAAGACCCACTTAGGATCTGGTCATTGAAAGCATAAGAAAACCTTGACTGAAGCTTAGTTCCAACAGGAGAGTTAGCAGGTTCCCTCAGTCCTGGTGGCTGCTGCAGCATGCATGGCTCCCGGTGGTTATAAATATGCCTGGTCTGTGCAAAGCAGAAACAACCATTTCAACAGCTTGATGGCTCTCTGTTACTTGAACCTCTGAGTTATAACCAGAAGACAGCTCTAGCCCCCAACTCAGTTTGTTCATCCTTTTGGGGGAGGGAGGCGGTGGAGGAAGAGTTGCTTTATTTGGTTTGTTGGTTTGTTTTGTAAGACACAATCTCATGTAGTCCAGGTTGGCCTCAAAATTGCTATGCAAGTGAGGATGACCATAAACTTCTGATATCTTGTGCCACAGCACCGGTTTTGTATGTGGAACCCAGGGCCTTGTCCATGCTACGAAAGCGCTGTGCCCCAGTGCTCTGGGCTGCATCCCCAGCCCATTTCTACCTTTTATGGCAAAGATAATAATGATGCTATGGTGGGCTTTGGTTAATTGGGATGAGATGTGGCTTTTTTGTTCAAGCTTGCAAGCCCACCTGTTTGTTAGCACTCTAAATTTTACTCCTCATTTGATGAGTTTCCCTTTGCTAAGTTGCAAACAGCCCACATGGAAAGTAGCCTGAACTCCCCATGGCCGGTGCCCAGCAGGTTCTTCTTAATCATTTCTACTCTGTGTGGAAACAATGGCATCTATACTAGCAAACGCCCAGCTCTGTACACCAGGCTTGCTGCTTACAGGTGCCAGCTCTTTCATTGTGGACGGGTGCCTTCATGCTGTTCTTGGAAATCCACTGATACCAGCTGCTGACCAGGTTCCATTTGTAAAATGTTTGAGAAGAGAAGACAGGCCCCTGCCTGAATGGCAGAAGTAGAGTATCCAAGTGTGGGACAGTGTTATGCCACATTCAGCATATGTGAGCATGATGAATTCTGTAGCAACATGGGTCTCCATGCCTCATTAGGGTCACCTCAGACAAATACGTTCATTGTCCATCAAGTTACCTCAAAAGGTGTCCAGTGCATTCATTTGTGTCATCCTGTATAAAAATCACTTCTTTGAGAGTAGCTCTTCCTGTTGGTTTTTGAATCTTTCCCACTGTTCTGTCTCTTCAGACCTGGGTGTGAGCCTCGCCTCCTTTTCTCCTGCCCACATCCAGGTCTATGAGACTGCTCTGCCCTCAGACTATACTGAGTACTAATTCTTTCTCTCCGCTTCTACAGCTAACACTGTAGTCTAAACGATGACTTCTCTCCCATGGATCATTAAAGTAGCTTCTAAGTTGGCCTCCTGTTGTCCATTCTTGACCTCCTAGTGCATGCTCCCTGCAGTCAGGATCACTGTGTGTGTATGTCACTCTCAGACATCTGAGTGCTTGTCCCTGCGGCCACACAGCCTCCATTTCTCTCTCCAGCATGGTGGCTCAGGCTCTAAGGAGTGACTGCAAGTTCTCTGGGCTAGCACCTTGGATTGTGACTCCACATCCTGTTAGCTGAAATTCTCTTGGTGGGAAGAGCAGCGTTCATGTAAGAGAAGGTGGGAGTTAATGAGCACATGTATGGAGGTCAGCTGTCATCACCTAAACGGACTGGATGGCATGGCTCAGACTACTTCCCCAGTGATCTCTTTGACTACTCATTTAGGGCTCTTAGCATGCCAGACAGAATGCTGCCTCCCAGAACCTGTGCTCTCAAAATTCCTACCACCTATGTAACAAAATGTTAAGTTCAGCTATCACCCTCTTAGGAAAACTGTCTGTAACCAGGGAGAGTTAAGCAATTACATTACTTTTTAAGTTGCTGCATAACATCATGAACTTGGCAAGTTCCAACAAACCTCTCCATTAGCTCAACTTCTAGAGCTGGAGAGTCTGATCCAGCATGGTGTGTTCTCTGTTCAGGTGTCACCAGGTGTCATCAGTGTATTGTCTAGTCAAGTTCTTACCTAGAAGCTCCTGGGGAAATCCTCACACCGTATTCCTGGTGGCAGACCAGTCCTTGCTGTTACAGTAAAACTAGAGAGTCATGATTTCCTCAATGCTTATCCATGGAGGCTGTTCTTAGCGCTGAGCATCTGATCACATTCTCCATACCCATGTCTGCCTTTAGAACTCTCTGAAGACCCTGTGTACCTAGGTACTACTTATTGCAAAAAATTGTATAATTTTTATATGGCCAGCTTGGGACTTACTATGTAACGCAAACTGGCCTTGGACTTGTAACCCTGCCTCAGCTACCTGAGTGCTGGAATTACACGTGTGCACTACACTTTCCAATTAGTAATCTCTTTTCAGTTCAACTGATTGTGTCCTTATTTTAAGCATAACAGCACCTACAATAGTGTTAGCTCTAAGGGGAGGTATGTGTGTAATTCTTTCTAAGACCAGGTCTGACTATGTGGACCTGACTGGCTGGGAACTCACTATGTAGACAGGCTGGTCTCAAACTCACAGAGATCCACAAAGCGTGCATACTCTGTAATGGGAATCTTCATGGAACCATCTTAGAATTTTGCCTGCCATAATAACATACTCCCCCTTCCTGTTCTTTCTTACATGTTATTTACTGTATATGTGTGCACATGCACACACATTCCACAGAGCATGTGTGGAGGTCAGGACAGCTTGTAGTAGTTGGTTCATTCCTTCCACCATGTGGGTTCCAGGGGTCAACTCAGGTCATCAGGCATGGTGGCAAGTACCTTTACCAACTAAGTCTTTTCTCCGGCCCTTGTATAATCCAGAAATTATTTTACTCTGCTTTTCTTGGCAGTGCTGCTTACAATCATAAGTGATATGTGCCTCTTAAACTAGAATATATGTTCCTGATGATTCTTTGCTGGTTTTGTTCATTATTGTATTCCTAGCACCTGGAACAGTGTTAGATACATTGTAGATACTCAGTACATACTTATTAAATGACTTAGTTATTAAAAACTATAGCACGTTTTTGATAACCATGAAGATGGGAATTTTGGAAAGAAAATGTTAGCTTGAGCCTATGAGTTATTAGGCTTTATCTGCAAAGATACTATGAGAACTGTAAATATTCATTGGTCTTTCTTTGCATGGAAGACTTCTTATTTGACTATTAAAAAGTAAGTGTGAAGAAGTAATTATCTAAATGTCCGGTAACGGCTACATACAAGAAAAAGCAAATTAACTTTTTTGCTTGCTAGTAATAATTATATACTTCTGGCTTTCAGTTTCCAACTGTGCATCGCCATAAATTAAGAATGTCTGTGAACCTTTAGAAATGGATACTTGGTCTTCCTGCAGTATTCCTGATTTACCGCCTTACTCTGGTGTTTGTAAGGCTTTCCACATAATTATGGTTCACAAATACCCAAGTACTGTAAATCTAACAAGAATAACTCACTTGTAAAGATACAAGTTAGCATACCAGACCAGAAAATTAGACTGTTGCCCCCATTTTCAATGCTTGCGGTTACATGTTTCTTTTAATCCCTCCCTTCCTATAGACAAAACTTGCCAATGGCACTTCCAGTATGATTGTGCCCAAGCAGCGGAAACTCTCAGCAAGCTATGAGAAGGAAAAGGAACTGTGTGTCAAGTATTTTGAGCAGTGGTCAGAGTCTGATCAAGTGGAGTTTGTAGAGCACCTTATATCCCAGATGTGTCATTACCAGCATGGGCACATCAACTCCTATCTAAAGCCTATGCTGCAGAGGGATTTCATAACTGCCCTGCCAGGTATGTAGACGTTTCCTTGTCAAGTCTGCGTTAATTTGCTACAGCAGTAATGGAACTGGATCTTCAGCCTTATCCCCCTCCCTTTGAGAGAGAGAAGGGGGGTGCGGGGAGAGAGGAGAGGACAGAGAGAGGGTTTCACTCCATAACCCCAAGTTAGCCTCAAATTCACTGTGTAGACAAGCTGTGCCTCAAACTCACAACCATCCTTCTACCTTGGCATTGAAAGTTCTTGGATCACAAGTGTAACATAACACTCCTGGCTACATTTCTCTTTTTAACATTTATTTGGTTTGATAGTTACATGCCAAGTCACTGATTAAACCTTCTTTGTCTAATACAAGAACAACCACCTGGTGTGGTGCACCCCTTCAAATCCCAGCACTCGGGAGGCAGAGACTGGCGGAGCTCTGTGAGTTCGAGGCCAACCTGGTTTACAAAGTGAGTTTCAGGACAACCAGGGCTGTTGCAAAGATAAACCCTGTCTCGAAAAAAGAAAAAGACAAACCAAAGCACAAAAATCAAATCCCATTTTACTTTGTCTCCTTGTCTTATGTCCTTCTGTTAAGCCTTTTTTTTATTTGTTTGTTTAACCTATGTGCAGTTCCAAATCTGGTTTTGTTTTGTTTTTTCCCTTAAGTGTTCCCTGATTTGAGATAAGACTTTTACAATGTGTTTTGTTTTCCATTTCTTTCATGTACTAGGGAAATTATGGGAATTTTAGCAACAAAAATGTTTGTTTGTTGGTTTGTTTGTTTGCTTGAGACAGACTATCTCTACCTAGCTCAGGCTGACTAAAAACTCACAATCCTCCTGCATCAGCTTCTACTACAACCCAGAACAGAATACTTGAATTATATAAGAATTAATATTTTTTAATTTTTTAGTATTTTTGGAAGAATGTTATATGAATTATTTGATATGTCATACACACACACACACACACACACACACGCACACACACACACACACACACACACACACACACGAGATACTTGAGAGGATGCCAGAGTTTTTTCTGTAGATCAAACCAGGATCTTGTTCATAGAGGACAAACATTGCTACTGACCTATATCCCCAATGGGGTTGGGGGAGGAGTGTTAATGGGACATGAACCTCTATTCTTGTGCTAACTAGATAAGCACTCTATCACTAAGTAACATCCCCAGAGTGCCCTACCCACTTCTTGAATGGTAATCTAGAACACTGCAAAGCATGGGAAATATGAAGTTCTTATATGGGCTACACATTTATTAGGGAAATAATTATACACTTGCTGTTAACTACACTGTCAGGTCTTGTTTGGGGGTGTTTTTCTATTTTGACTGCTTTTGATGGTTATGAAATTTAGAAAATACAAAAAAGGAAAGAAAAGAAAAGAAAAGACTGGAAAGACAGCTCAGCCAGTAAAGTGTTAGCAATGCAGGCCTGAGGACATGAGTCTGATCCTCAGAGCCTACGTAAGAAAGCTGGGAGAGGGGATGTGTTTGTATTTCCAGCCCTGAGGAGGCAGATGTAGGCAATCCCTTGGGCTCACTGGCCTCCATGCACACATATGTGAACACACACACATACACACAGAGTAAAAAATATAATTGCCCAGAACTCTACCACTCAGAGAGCCCTTTGTTCATATGTGTGTATGTATGTATATGTACATATATATAAAGTTCTGATCATGTGTTTATGTCCCTATAGATCTGGGGTCTGTCTTTTAAAACTTAATATATTCTCCTAGTATACTTTTATTAAATATGTTAAGGTATATTTTTTTAAGAGTGTGTTCTTTTAAAAGATTTTACTTCCTGTAGTACTTTTTGCAATGGTCTGAACACATTATTTAACCCCTTCACTAGTCATTTTTTCCCATATAAAGTATATCATGGTGGACATTCTTGTGCATTAATATTCCAGACAGCCTCAGAAGAAAAACACCCAAAGTAGAATTGCTGTATTAAAGAATATGAGGTGTTTCAGTGTGGTTTAATTTGGTTGTTTGGGATTTTTTGTTTTGGTTGTTATTGCTTGTTGTTTTATGGGTGTGTTGGAAATTGAATCCAGTGCCTCCCACATGCCAACAAGCCCTCAACCACTAACCTTCACCTGCTGCCTTGAAGCAGGAGCTTTTTGAAGGCTTTCTCCTCCTCCTCCTCCTGAGGCAGGCTCTTCCTGTGTAACTTAGACTGGCCTTGAACTTTGACCATTCCTCCTGCCTCCTCCTCCTGGGACTCTAGCTGTGCACCACCACCACCAGATTCATTTTTAGAAGGCTTTGGGTGCATGCTGGCAAGCTCTCTTCTAAGAATAATGTACTATCTGGTAGCCTTCTCAGGACTACAAACTACTACCTTGCTTAATCCTTGCTAGCTGTTTCTTAAAATTTTGTTTTTCTAAACTTAAAATAAATTACCTTTTAAAATTAAAGAAATGCTTATTTGTATATTACAAGTACTTACTTTAAAACAAAGTGTATCTGTATCCTTTGCCAAATAGAATAAACGTTTGCCCCTTATAACATCTGGATTTTTTTTCTAGCCATAGGCAAACAGTTTTCCTTGTACAAACAAACTGAATGTACCTATTGCTGCATCCTTACCAATCATTGAGACATGCTACTGTCTTAAACTTAAACGCTAAGAATTGAACCAGAGTCGATTGGACCAATGTATTATACCTAATACTGATCCCTGGTGTGTATCTGCTGACCAGGCTATCCGGTATTAAATCATGTCCAGTGCTTAACAGCCATTTAAATTTCTAAACCTACACCATCTGGCTGCATTTAGTAAACCAAACTACTTCAAAACTTGCCTATAATCCATTAATGTAATGGTTTTGTTTGGAGTGTTAGGTGAAATTACTTCCAGCGACTTATTACTGGTACATTGTAAAAGATCAGGAGCAATTTGATGGCAGCCATTAAAAATGTAAGAATGCCTTTTGGAAACTTCTGATGTTGTAGAAAGTTTGAATATAAAGATTCAGGAAACATACCATCATTGTATTTTGTATGAAAAGCTATTTATTATATCTTTAATTGGCTTATAGTCATATTCCTTTAATAAGAATTAGGTGATGGATGCCTCCATCTGCTTATGCTTAAATATGAACATGTGATGCCAGCCAAACAAGATCCATTTAAAGCTTTCTTCCCCAAGTCTGCTGGAAAACATGACAGATATCCATACAGTTTTTATAATTAGAATAATGTTTAATAAGCATATTTGGATTGTTGCTAATGGCATCCAAGTGTGTCTCCATATGATTCAGGGGAAACCGCATGCATGTCGTTGGCCCTCCTCAGTTCATGCCTACAGAAGACAGGATATATGTATGACTCCTTCCCATCTCTTTTGAGCCTTCAGAAAACCTCAAAGTTTAATAATTTTGAATGTTTTTGTCTGAGCTGTGAACCTGGAACAGCACTGACAAGAAATGTTGTTAGGGTAGCCATCCTGTTTGACGGGCTCTTTTCCACTGGGACTTGGGTACATATTTGGGTGGTAGAGAACGTCCATTGGAGAGCACGTTCAGTCCCATCACCCCAGATCACCGTGCCATGACTTCCTCTGAAATGCTACCCAACTTATCTATTGGCAAGATTGTTTGTTTGTTTGTTTGTTTTTTTTTTCATTTTTGATCAACTGTCACTTAGGTTTTATAGCAGTAAAATAGTTGTGTGTGTGTGTGTGTGTGTGTGTGTGTGTGTGTGTGTGTTTTAACGCGCACAGTGTAGCTCATCTGTGAACTGTAATACCCCTGTGCGTTCTCTCAGGATGCTCCTGGAGCTGTGTCTACCCCCCTTCTGTCTGCATGCCCGTATTCCCCCCACACACACACAGTCTGGTGTGCTGCCTCTCCCCAGTACAGTTAAGGGTATTTCTTTCATTGGATGGCTTTGGAACCGCAGCAGTAATAGAAGCAGAATGAGAAATGGACCTAATATCAAGATTTCGGGGGGTCTGAATCACAGAGTTTGAGATGCCATCCGTAGAACATCCCTAGTGTTGAAATCCATATAGATAGATGTGAACTGTTTTCTGGACTCCTTTTTATTTTTAATGTCTTGGGGGGTTTGCTGGTTGTTAGCTTTAACTTCCTTATCTAACAGAAGATGGAAAATACTGTTCATTTCTGTAACCTATGGAAAAATTATTGACACTCATTTTACCCAAGTCTCTGCTTGGGAAAGAAACTGGGCCACACTAGGGACAGTAGCGTGCCTTCATCACACAGCATGTGCTGTTTTTAAAGGGCTTTCTGTGAAAAATTGCTCAGCACCCCCTCTGTTCTTTTTCTGTGCTTCCTTCCTCCCCTCACCAAAGCACGGGGTCTGGACCATATTGCTGAGAACATTCTGTCATACTTGGACGCCAAATCACTGTGTGCTGCTGAGCTTGTGTGCAAGGAGTGGTACCGCGTGACGTCGGACGGCATGCTGTGGAAGAAGCTCATCGAGAGAATGGTCAGGACAGACTCTCTGTGGAGAGGCCTGGCAGAGCGCAGAGGGTGGTGAGCCTTTACCCTTCCTCTACCACAGCGCTCCCACTCAGGGCCGCTGAGCACTCCGGAGTGTTGGGAGCCAGTGAGGCCACTTCGCATCATTTATAGTTACTGTGCTGATTTGTAGCTAAAACTATAAGAGAATATGCATCTGCTCAACAGTTTTCTCTGACCATTCAATCATTAAATGACGTATTTTGTTAATACTGCTTTGCAAAAGAAAACTGACCACCTCCTGATTAAAGCAGTCTGCTCTCTGAACAGAAATTGGGACTCTGCAAAAAGGCCAAGGGGCAGTTTTTAAGGCAGGTAGGGTAGCTTTGAATGAGGTAGAAGTATCTACTCCTGCTTCCTCCTCTTCTGGGGAAAATGGAATTGCTCTCCTTTGGTAGACTTCCTGTATTTAGTCCCCACGTCTAGTGTCTTATTACTTTTACAATCAAAAGTGAATTTTTATGCCCAAATAAAGTAAAACTATTAGCTACCAAAAAGAATGAAAAATGGTATTTAGTATAAAACACTGTTTCTTCTTAAAACTTGTATGTTTCTTTAGATTTGCGTGTTTAATTCTGACTCCCCTAAGGCTTTATGTAGTCAGCAGCCTGAGTGACTTCCCAGTGGCATTGTTCTCTGAACACAGTGGCACTACCTCATTAAAACTTCTGGAGATATTTTCTTTTTAGAGTTTTGCCTCAGAGTGTGTGTCTAGAATGTCACTATAAGAAAGTCAGCTATGAATACTTAATTAAGTAAGTTATTAAGTATATTTGATTAAAAATGATAATGGGGGGGTGTGTGCCCAATGATTGCCTTCAAAGTTAACTTTTTTGGGGAGCACAGGGGCCTGTTTTTTGTCTGTAGTTCTACAACCTCAAATAATTAAGATTACTAAAAGAAAGCTGGATATGATAGTATACACCTGCCTTTCCAAGCAGAAAGAAGGAGGCCAACAAGGATGAGGCCACCTATGCTCTGGAGCATGACCCTGTGTCAAAACAAGCTTAGAAATAGGCAGGGGCTACAGGTTTCTGCAGTGTGTGTATATATATATATACAAGGCTTTGGGTTCAGGCCTCAGTACTACAAACAAAAAATAAATCTTCATTTAGCTAGGTAGGTAGGCATGGTGGTCCATACCTGTAATCCCAGCAAGTAAGGAAGTTGAGGCAGGAAAGAGAGAGAGAAATAATCACAGATCAACTTTCCTTAGACTTTTTATAAAATTATGCTTGGCTCTCTTGCTTTTGTATCCTTGAAATTCATGGGCTCATGAATATGTTGACCTCTGAGGGTTATGGCAAATGCTTCAAAGATCTCTGTCATTTGAGCTATTAGGAAGACTTAAAAACCTTTACTCTTAAATTCCAGGTCAAGGATCCAAATGCTAGCAATCTTCTTGCTATATGACTATAATCCAGAGCTTATTGATATTTTTCCCTATTTTTTTTCCTTGCAGATGTTTTTCCTATCCTCCCTTACTGTGTAGGAAAGTAGAAACTGCCTTTGCTTACTGACGTCATACTCTGATAGTTAGCATATATGGCATTCAGAGTCCATCATTTTGCTGAGTCTGAGACCAGCTTTAGAAATGGAGCACACAGCTGCATACTTGGACATTTTAGGGTGTTTGAAAAGATGTCTCTATCCTTCAGGAAAGCAAAGAAACTCTCCTCCAGATAATTCAGGCCTTAAATAACAGTTTTCAAAACTCACTTCTTAGCTAAAAGGATTTCATGCTCTGTTAAAATACACTTGTTTCCATTTGTACTGTAAATGACAGCAGCGTGTTCTGAAGGCAGGAGTGGAGCTTCTAAGATGTGTGCGTGTATAAAATGCAGCGTAAAAGCAGACTTTTGTTTAGGGTTGGTCCTAAACCGTGGGGTCTTTTATGTCGGTTATAAAGACAGTAACAAAACCATCATTAAAAAGATAGGATTTTGGTCTTTATTTTTTATTAAATATTTATATTAAATTTCTGTGGTACCTGGAATCAAACTGGGGGTTTTGTATCTGTTAGGCAAGTATTCTACCCCTAAGTTAAATCCCAGTCCACTTTTTAGCCTTTTAAATGGTCCTCAAAGATAGAGCTGAGGTGTCTTTGTGTGGTTAGTGCCACTGTTTCCCTCTCTTCAACCTTAGAAATCCCCCACACGCTTTGCAAGTTATCCAGCTTTATGACCAGATTCCCTTGTCTCTGTCACATTGATGGAATTTGATATAACTTGTTATAGTCCCGTGAAGTAGTAAATGCAAATACTTATGTGCTCTGTGAATGCCTGCTTAGTGTCTTTTGGGTGACAGCTGCTCTCCCTCTTTTGTTTATTGCCTTTATGTTTGGGTGGTCGTGGTGTTGAGATAGGGCCTTGCTTCATAGCCCAGGTTGCTCTCAAGCCTCCAGCCTCAGTGAGTGCTAGGATTACAGGAATGTGCTAAATTCTCCTTTCTTCAGAAGAAATTATTTATGAACAATTTCTCATTTCCTTCCTTCCTTTCTTTCCTTTTTTTAAGATAGGATCTTTCTATGTAGCCCTGGCTGTCCTGGAACTCACTCTGTAGACCAAGCTGGCCTCAAACTCACGAAGACCCTCTTGCCTCTGCCTCCTGAGTGTTAGGATTAAAGGCGTGCGCCACTGGGCCCAGCTCATTATCGTTTTTGAAGTTAATCTTTACCAAGCCTCTGTGTTAAAGCCGTTCTGTGCTGTTCCTTTCCCCATATGGGTGTCTTTGAAAGTGCCTCCAATTTCTTCCTTTCAAAAGTGTACAAGCATATAAATATGGTCTTCCTAGAGTGACTGAGGCACCACGATCTCACTTCCACTCTGCTGTTATATTTCATACCTAGATAGATTTGACAGTTTGCCCCTAGGACATGAACTTTGCAGTTTTCTCTCTTAAATAACACTAGATAATGCTCTCTATTCAGTAATGGTAACTCTTAAAAGTATGATAAAGGACAACTTGGGGAAAGTCCATTTTCTTAATCAGGAGATCACATTTTATGATAACTTTCTAAATTTAATATTTCACATTTATCATGCACTCACATTCTCATAGGTACCAGACATTTTGCATAGAAGTGGTCCCTGTTGTCAAAGAACATACACCATAAAAGATTTTGACTTAAGCCAGTTCTCAATATCTAGCCATTCCTTTGTAGCATCATTGATTGGAGAAATTAATATACGTTTAATGGTAAAGACAGTGGGATAGAAAATGAGATTAGAGATTCATTTGAATCTGATTTCCTGGGGCTACAGAGAAAATACATTGAATGGGAAGAAAATCCTGGAGAACTCCTAGGACGGCAGAGACTAAAGGAAGACAAGAATCTCAGGAATGGTGGGCACTGGAAAACAATAGTTAAAAATCTCATCTGCATGCAAAGTGTTTACATAACCAAACTGTTCAGAGCAGGATGCCATTAATCCAGAATTATTTCTCAAAGTAGCTTACTTACTCTTTATATTGGTATATCAGATTTCACAGTCCTCCTTTAAAAAACTGTTCTTTTCACTTCTCCATTGCAGAGTTTCTTTTCTGCATTAAGATAGACAGCAGACCCAGCTGCCTTCCTGATAGGAGATTTTCTCAACTAATCTTCAAAGTGTATAATAGGGAGAGGGCAGGGGAGAAGCTCTCCTGAAGACACAGAACAATTAATTATATTGTAATGGCACTATAGAGGCACAAGTGGATGACTAGCCCAGAGAAAACATGATTTCTCTGGTGCCAGGATTACACACAGAGGCATTTCTGCCTGTCTCCACTTTGCAAGGCACAGTGCCAGTGAGAACAGCAGTTAGCACACCCATAGTGGGCTTTACTAGCTTCCACACCGTGTTTGGTGGGTTCTTAACTTCAGGATAAAGAATGAAATTTTTTACCCAGCAGGAAGTGATTGCCATTTACCTTTTTTTTTTTTTTTCCTTCCTTTTTTTGGATAACAATCTAGCTTGGGGTGTGAGTATTCAGAGATATGCTGTCATAAGGAAGGAGATGCTAGCAAAGGCTGCTTGCTAGAGTCAAGGAAAGTCAGGACATGCATCTGTGTGTGCACATAGGAACACACCTGCGAAAGCCAGGTTCCTACCTCACACGTGATGGCATGGTGTGCTTTGCATTTCTTCTCACCTCTCCTTCCTGCTGCTGACACCCCTTCAGTCCCTTTGTTTGTTACTGAACTGAATGGCCTCTTTTGGAGGACTGCCACAGTGATCAGGAATAGCCCCAGGGACTAAGCTAGCACACCCCGCCCCGTGTAATAACTAACTACCATCTTGATCGCAGTGACAGAAGCATTGCTGTTCCTAGCACGCTAGGCTGCTTCTGACGTTGGCACAACTCGGCTCAGGGGCCAGTGCTAGCTCAAAGGTAGCACAGTGGTAGAGTGGTAAACTACTTACCTAGCAAAGTGCACACAGCTCTGGGTTCAAGCCCCAGAACCAAGAGAGAAAAGTAGTAGTTATGATTATTAACCAGAAGAATTACCATTATTATCAAATGATAAAATAAGTAAATGCACAGAAGCCTAATAAACCAGTAGATGAATTCTGAGCCTATGTTTATCAACACCCCAAAGGGGTTGGTACTCTGATCAAGTTCCTTAGATACCAGAAGGGTAACACTTTGACACAGGGCTCCTAAAATCACCCTACCATCATGCCTTGCCAGGGTAGTTAATGGACGATATGTGGGACACTTTGAAAAACTACAAAGCTTCTTGTAAATGGATTTATGATCTTCATTGGTAAATATTTGTTTTTTAGGGGACAGTACCTATTCAAAAACAAACCTCCTGATGAGAACGCTCCTCCCAACTCCTTTTATAGAGCACTTTATCCTAAAATTATACAAGATATTGAGGTAAGAATCGATGTATTTCAGGATATTTGCTAAGCATTGTTAGTATGCGTAACTTTCAAGTATTATTACAGAAAACTCACTTAGGTTTTCAGTGTGGGTTAAAAATCAGTGTCTTTACTAATGAATAAGGTTGGTAAAGTGCAGAAGAGTCCCAATCAATTTTTGTATAGCTTTAAAATCTGTGGTTACTGATAGATGAGTGTACACAAGGGGATTGCCACCTTCCTAAATCACCAGGGAACTCCTAAGCTGCTGAGCCTCCTTGGAGAGTTATCAGTAGGCATGGGTGCCACATATCTAAGAGGAGCACTGAGCATGCAGCTTTCCATAGTGCCTACTCTTTAGTTTTTTATGCGTTTGTATCCCATGGAGCAGTGATTCTCAACCTTCCCAATGCTGTGACCCTTTAATACAGTTCCTCATGTTGTGGTGACCCCCAAACACAAAATTCTTTTCATTGTTACTTCACAACTGTAATTTTGCTACTGTTATGAATTGTAATGTAAATATTCATGTTTTCCGGTGGTCTTTAGGCAACCCCTGGGAAATGGTGGTGCAGGTCTCGCCCCACAGGTTGAGAACCGCAGCCATAGAGTGACACTGAGCCATTGGTTTGAGTTCTTTCCTAATGAACTGCTTCCCTGACTCCTCCTTTCTAGACAATAGAATCCAATTGGAGATGTGGCCGACATAGTTTACAGAGGATCCACTGCCGAAGTGAGACAAGCAAAGGCGTTTACTGTTTACAATATGACGACCAGAAAATAGTGAGCGGCCTTCGAGACAACACGATCAAGGTGAAGCCTCTGTCCTAAGTGTTGTTTCTAGGAAGGGAGAATTGTAGATATATCCAGTACCAAAGCTGAAACCATTTCCTTAAAGGGCAAGTGTCTGCTGCTCCCCAGAGAATCATACAAGTAGATAGTTCCAGGGTTGAACTCCCTTCTAGAAGTACGCTGATGGAAGCTGTTGTTATTTTGGCCTTCATAATTATAGGCTACTCTTGCACCTTAATGAAAAGGATAAAGTTAGCATTAGAACTGAAGTCAGCACACCCAGGTGCTCTGCTCTACCTGGAGGAAGGAATGCAGTCCCACCCTCTCTAGCTTGGTGTTTGGGGATCATACATGCACAGAGCAACAAGTCTCCACAACACCCCATTATGACAGTGATCCTTTGCCCTCCTAGATCTGGGATAAAAGCACATTGGAATGCAAGCGAATTCTCACAGGCCACACAGGCTCTGTCCTGTGTCTCCAGTATGATGAGAGAGTGATCATAACTGGATCATCGGATTCCACTGTCAGGTAGGGAATTTCAGACTTGGAAACCCTCTACTTTCTGTCACGGTAATTTTCTTTCTGGTTTTTTTTTTTTTTTTTTAATTTTTATTTGATGTGCATTGAGGTTTTGCCTGCAGATATAACTACGCGAGGGTGTCAGATCTTGGAGTTAACTTTTGGTCGGTCACTTGTCACTCTAGAACCAGACACTTGATTTTGAAACCATTGGGTAGATTGCTCCTTTTTCATGTTGAAGAAGCTCCACAGATTCTCATTTGGAGAATCACCTGTCATAGGAACTTTCCGTCTCTTTATGGGAAGCCTTGCGTTCCTTTATGAAACCACCTCCGGGAATGCAGGAAGGGAATGAAGGCTTCCTTTCAGGAGATTGTAACTGCAGTGCGGCATGCATGAGCTCTTTCAAGTGCATACAGGTGAGCAGGGCTCACTCCTTGCCAGCCCCTCCCCTGCCATCACCACAATGTATAATTGCAAGTTTCACTCAGGGAGGGGTCCTCAGTTTCCAGAGGCACTGGTGATTTGATGACACAGCCATTATGCTGCTGGAGTCCAGTGTAGCTTGAGTTCAGGGTACCAGCATCACTGCTGGAAACCTGCTAGGAGTTTCACCTTAAGCTAAAGGATTTAGTGAACGTAATACATCAAAAGTAACTTTAAAAGAACCGGCGTAAAAGGCAGTTTTAACTGCACTGTTAAGTTCTCTAAAGTTATCCCCTGTAAACAGGAAAAGCTGCTCCCTTGACTTCTAGGCATAGCAGGGCCGGTCCTCACAGTCATTGGCAATTAACTTATCTGTGCTGTGGAGCTCCTCGAAGGAGCTGGAGCATTGTAGATGCTCATATCATTTAAAGGCTGGGGGAGAGATGATGTTTTGTTTGTTTGTTTGGGCGGTGTTGGGATTGAACCCAGGGCTTTGTGTGCTAAGCAGCACTCTACCTCTTAGCAACACTGCAGCACAAAAAACAGCTTTCTGCAAGGAGGGTTAAGCTGGAAAGGGAAATGAAATGTTTCAGAAACCACAATCAGTATGCAAAGTAGAGTAAGTCACGGTCATTTCTGCCGTGACACTGTGCTCAAGCTGTCCAAGGGTCCCCACTGCTATGAAGCATGTACTTGAGTGGGAGGCAGGCTCTTCTTGACCTCTTGCCTTGAAAAGCACAGAAATGGAGCCTTGGACTTAGAGTCTACATAATCCTGACCCTTGACCCAGGTGGAAAACTTAACATTAAGGGAAGTCAAACTCAAGTCCACATTACTAAGTCTGCGGCAGAACATGGTTTCCGGGGCAGTCACTGGGACAGAGCCTACTGCTATTCTTTTTTTTTTTATTGATTATTTGGGAATCTCATATCATGAGCCCCAGTCATACTCAACCTCCCAGTCTTCCCATGCCTCTCCATGACCCCCCCCCCAAAAAAAAAACTCCACTTTGTGTTCATGTATTCACTGGAGCATGGTCAAATTCCTAATGGCCAGCCCACCAGGGAGGGCGAGTCTTTCCCACCTGCATCTGTGCCAGAAGCCATTAGCTAAGGAAAGCCACGCAGTGGCCAGAGTAGGGCGGAGCTAGCTCTCCCATGCCTGCAGACATTAACGTGGCTTCAGGCAGCAGTCCCAACCACAGGCATCCACATGGGCTTCAGTGACAGCACAGAGACAGACATCAGCACAATTCTTGGCCATATCAGAACCACTGACCCACCCCGGCTCTCCCTGTTGCTGTTCTTATCCTGGTTTACATGTGTGTTCTTAACTGAATGTCAGTAATAGAATAATAATAGAGTAGAACAGAGTAATAATCTGAAAATCTGTGCCAAATTAGAAGGTGGTAGTGACTACTTCCTCTTCCCTGAGCACTATAGTTTGGCCAGATTTCCCATTTTAAGGTTCTACCCAGAAAGCGCCGACTTCCTGCCTTTCCTCTTTATCTATACTGCTTCCTCATGGTCCATCCATACTCTACCTTGGGGCTGTAAAGAAAGAGCACAACATTTGCCATAAAAGTGGAGGTGAGGGGCTGGAGAGATGCTCAGCAGTTAAGAGCACTGGCTGTTCTTCCAGAGGTCCTGAGTTCAACTCCCAGCAACCACATGGTGGCTCACAACCATCTGTAATGAGATGCAGTGCCTTCCTCTTGCATGCAGGCATACATGCAGCTAGAACACTGTGTACATAGTAAATAAAAAATTTTAATAAAGTGGGGGTGAGCCAAGCATTGGTGGTACACACCCTTAGTCTCTTCACTTGGGAGGCAGAGGCAAGTGGATCTTTGAGTTCAAGGCTAGCCTGGTCTACAGAGTGAGTTTTAGGATAGCCAGAGCTATAAAGAGAAGCCCTGTTTCAAAAAGAAAGTGTTGGGGGGGGGGGGTGTGGCATTGATGGCATTGATGGTAAGCGCCATAGTCAAGAAGAAGCACTGCTCTGTAGCCTGTGTACCATCTAACTCTCAGGTGTCTTTTCAGAGTGTGGGATGTAAATGCAGGTGAGATGCTGAACACACTGATTCACCATTGTGAAGCAGTTCTGCACTTGCGCTTCAATAATGGCATGATGGTAACCTGCTCCAAAGACCGCTCCATTGCTGTGTGGGATATGGCCTCCCCGACTGACATCACCCTAAGGAGGGTGCTGGTGGGACACAGAGCTGCGGTCAATGTTGTAGACTTCGATGACAAGTACATCGTTTCTGCCTCTGGAGATAGAACCATAAAGGTAATAGGCCACTTTTCAGTGTGTTCACAGGGGCAGTAAGGAGCTGGTGTAAAAGTGTGATCGAGGACAACTATATACAAAACATTATTGTATGTGAGTTCGAGGCCAGCCTGGGCTACCAAGTGAGTCCCAGGAAAGGCGCAAAGCTACACAGAGAAACCCTGTCTCGAAAAACCAAAAAAAAAAAAAAACAAAAAAAACAAAAAAAAAACATTATTGTAGAATAATGTAATGGTTACTTCAGTTTTTATTTCTATAAACAAGAGTAATGGGCTGGAGATGTAACTGAGCGATAGACAACGTGCCTAGCATGCCCACGACCCAGCATGGACAGATAATAACAGTGTCACTATCGATGATGGTGGCATTGTGAGTGTGAGGAGAACAGATGCAAGTTTAAGTTCGAGGAAATATACATACTGGAACTGAGAAAGTGGCCAGGTTGATGAAGTCCTTGCCACACAAACATTAGGACCTGAGGTCAGATTCCTAGCAGCCATGTACAAGCCAGATGTGGCAGCGTGAGTCTGTGGCCTCAGGGCTAGGGGAGGGAACAAAGCTGGTGAATCCCTGGTGCTCACTGGCCAGCTGTTCTAGCCAAGTCAGGAAGCTCTGTGTGTAAAGCCCCTGTCTCCGGGAGCAAGGCTGGAGTGGAGGCTCAGCACCGTCAGACAGTGCGCTGCTCTTGCAGAGGACACGGGTTAGATGTAAGCAAATAGTGCCTCCAAACCACTGGAGCTCCAGTTCCCGGGGACCCGACGCCTCTGCAGGCCTCTGTGGGCTCCTGCGCCCCCGCGCACGCTCTCACACACACACATACACACACACACACACACACACACACACACACACACACACACACACACACAGACACGGTACACACAAACTTGAGCACTCACATATACACATAAAAATAATAAATATATCTCTAAAAAAAAGCCAGTGGAAAGGAGCTAAGGGAGACACTGAGTATGCACACACAGCACGAAGAGAAGAGGAGACCAATTCCGCAAGAGGAAAGCCATTTGACAGATGCTCATGGGGCAGCACCAGCTTCACGTTAGCCTGCGTTACTGTGAACTAAACTTGGCTCCATTTTTACTGGTAGAAGTGTACAGATCAACCGCTCAGTTGTCATTTTTCTGTCTCAGGTGTGGAACACAAGTACTTGTGAATTTGTAAGGACCCTAAATGGACACAAACGAGGCATCGCCTGTTTGCAGTACAGGGACAGGCTGGTGGTGAGTGGTTCATCTGACAACACCATCAGGTGAGCGGCAGGCGCCCTTCCCAGGTGGAGCCACATCACGTTCCAGCTGCCGTTTGTCACAGATCTCATGCTCTTGAACCATCTTGTTTGTTTTGAGTTGTTGTTGTTGTTGTTGTTTGTGTTATTGAAATCGTTTTTCTGTATAACCTGGCTGTCCTGGAACTGGCCTGTAACTCACAGAGGTCCACCTCCTCTGCTTCCTGAGTACTGGATTAAAGGTGTGGGCTACCACTACCTGACTTTGGTTTGGTTTTGATTTTGATTTTTTTTTTTATGCTTCTCTCATATATCCATCCACTCTTCCCTGTTCCCCACACACATCTCTGGTCTCCTCTAGATTCAATCAAATATGTTTCCATTCTGTAGCTTCTTACGGGTCTGAAGCTTGCCCTACCAGAAAAGCAGTACAGAAAAGCCTGTTGGTGATGTGTTTCCTTCCCAGGATACTCTTCTTAACAAATAGACCTATTTCAGAGGAACTGCTTCAGTAAGAAACTAAGACAGCTAATGGAGGTTAAGGGCCCTTTTTTCAAGTTTCTTTCCTGCAGTTGAGAAATGCTAATAAATAAAGGTCATTTCTCCATGTCACTGTTGTTGAAAACATAAAGAAAAAGAGGAAGAAAAGATTGTTTCTCTGCTAGAAATCCTGACTTTTTGCTTCAATACAGTAGTTGGCCAGAGAGCTGGCTGTCTTTAAATTTGAAGGTTGCAAAAGTCTGTACATTTTTGTATGTTTACCCTTACAAAGATGAATGACAGAGAGAGGTGGTTAGAATTTGGAAATTTTATCTGTCATCGCCTTTCCTTCAATGCCTGAGGGAAGGAAGAGCTAGACCTGATGCATAGCAAAGCATTCCTAGAAATCAATGGAAGTGGGCTGAAAGCATTAGAACTATTGCAGCAGACTTCTCAAATAGAGCTTTGCCTTTCTGTTGATGGTGACTGCTGTGGACAGTGGTGAGAGCAGTGTCCTCCAGCAGAGATGGAGGTACTTTGTGGCAGGAGATATCACTGACACAATGTATCTCATTCTGAGAGGTGACTTCAGGAAGAATTACTCTCTTGAAAGGCTCATTTCCTTCCTAGGCGACTGTGCCTTGAACTCCTGCCTGGAAGAACCTGGTTTCACAGTTGCATAAAGCATTGTGTTTTGAAAGCACAGCATTCAAACTTAAATCACACTTTTTCTGCCCAAATTATATGACAGATAGGAAATAAGTTATATTGAAAGTAATATACTTTTATATGAGTGATTGATCTTTGTGAAATTTTAAAATATTTTTATTTTATGTGTGTGACTATGTTGCCTATGTGTACGTATTTGCACCACACGTGTGATGAAAGTCCACATAGGTCAGAAGAGTATTGGATCCTCTGGAACTGGAGTTCTAGAAGGTTATGAAGCACCATGTAGGTGCTGAGAATCAGAGCTCTTAACCACTCAGCCAGTTTTCAAGCCCCCTTTGTGAATTGTTAAAGGATGTATGAAATACCTTGTAATAGTCAAGGTTTAGAAATGAATCTATGACATTTCACTTGACTCAGTTTTCTCCTCCAGATTGTGGGACATAGAATGCGGCGCTTGTTTACGAGTGTTAGAAGGCCATGAGGAGTTGGTGCGCTGTATTCGGTTTGATAACAAGAGGATAGTGAGTGGAGCCTATGATGGGTGAGTTCACCAAACAATATTACGAAACAACTCGATCTTGAGAGCTCAGGTTGTAGCTCAGCAGCAGAGCATGTGCTTAGCATGTGCAAGGCCCTGGGCTCAATTCTTAGCACCTCCTTTCCCCAAAGTCTCTGTCTTCATTCTTCCCAGTGTGTGATGGTAAATGTCACCCTTCCTTGGCTCCTGGAGTGGAAACACACCATTGCTTAATTGATGTTCACCTCTCTTGTGCTTACTGTTTCCTAAAATAGTCTTCCTAGTCATTGAATTGTATTTGTATTGATTACTATTTTGGCTATTAGATTATATATTTGTCTGGTTTGCCCTGTAAGGCAAAGAACCAGACAAATCCACCGTAACAGGCCAAGCATGTAAAGTAGCTGTTCTAAGAGGGAATGCGGGAACCCTGCCCCCAACCCAGAAGTCATCTGATTCCTGTGAGCTCCGTTCACTATCCAGATTTATTGTCCTGACTTTTTCTGTTCTTCCTTGTGTTCCCTTAAGTTTGCTTTAACTAAGACTTTTGTCCCCTTTTTGATCTTTAGAAAAATTAAAGTGTGGGATCTTATGGCTGCTTTGGACCCCCGAGCTCCTGCAGGGACTCTTTGTCTACGGACGCTTGTGGTAAGAGTCTTATTGTTAAAGGGGGCTGAAGAGCAGGTAGGGGAAGAAATTAAATGTTAATGTGCTGTAGAATATAGATCTGGATTTTATAGTTAGACTCTCACAAAACCTACTAAGTGGAAAAGCAACCAATACATGACAATAAAATATGTTTATATAGTGCCTTTCATCCAAAAGTGCTTTGGAGACTGTATATGGAGAGGACTAGGGCAGCTGCTTAACAGCTGCACAGTACCTCTCCCACATGTAGTGCAGGAAGTGAATAAGAATTCTGCATCCACCAGAAGCAGCAGGAGGCACTGAGGGAGAGAGAATATAATTACTCAAATTGGAACCTGTCCAGAATCTAAGGACCCGAACACCTGTACTTGCAAAAAGTACCCTGGGACTCACTGGAACCCCTGGTCAGCTCCTTAGCTCTATGTCTCATTCACTAGGTAGTGCCTCCGTCATTATCCTCTGTTCACCCCATGCTTGAACATCTTGACACTTGGAGAGAGAAGTGAGTCAGGGAGAAATGTCACCTTTAATGCTTTTTGTAGCAGGGTCTCACCTGGCTCTGACTGAATTGAAATTGTACTCCTTCTGCCTCCATCTCCCTAGTCCTGGGATTATAGGCCTGTGCCCACCACAAGCTTAGAAGCATAAAATTCTTTGTCACGGTATAAGCCACAGACTCAGACTGACAAATGTTGCTTTAGTTAGATGTGTGTGGATCCAGAGTAACAGAATCTTTTGAACAACTCAGGAAAAAGATGAAACATTCAAAGTCCAGTGTTCTGACTTCTGAGTCAACATTCAGGAAGTCTCAGTTCTGGAGAAAAGGAATACTTTGTCTTTCTCAGGTTTAAAGCACATTATTAAGCTGAGTATGGTGGTGTACACATGTAGTCAGAGGCTGAGACAGGAGAATTGCCATGTGTTCCTGAGAGGCCTGGGCTACAGTTTGAGACCCTGTCTCTTAGATCCAAAAACCTAAGATTGGGTGCATTCTTTCAGTAGCACGTGTGCCTTGCCTGCTTTCTTCACACATGTCCTTTCAAACGTGTGCTCTGTGCACTGAGCGTTTTGGCATCTGTCTGTAATCCCAGACTTTAAAAATGAGGCAAGAAGAGTGATGGTGACACCCACCTTTAATCCCAGCACTCGGGAGGTAGAGGCAGGCGGATCCCTGTGAGTTTGAGGCCAGCCTGGGCTACCGAGCAAGATCCAGGACATCTAGAACTACATAAAGAAACAAAAACAAATAAATAAATAAATGAGGCGAGAAGAGTGTGAGTTTCTGACTAGCCTAGACTATATAGAGAGACCCTATCTTTAAAAAGAAAAAGCAATCTTTACAAATAGAGAATGGTTGTGTGTGCTTATAATCAGAACTTGGACCATAGGAAGGAGGATCCTGAGTTCAAGACAGGCTGGGGTTATATAGCAAGACTTGTCCCCAAAACAGAACAAGTAACAGCAACAACAAAAGAGTACTCAACTTGAGGGCTGGAGAGATGGCTCAGCAGTTAAGAGCACTGACTGCTCTTCCAGAGAACCCAGCACCCACATGGCAGCTAACAACTAACAACTGTCTGTAACTCCAAGATCTGGCACCCTCACACAGACATACATGCAGACAAAACACCAATGCACAGAAAATAAAAATAAATAATTTTTCAAAAAAAATATTCAACTTAACAATTTTGATACAGAGGCAGGTGTGGTAGTGCACACCTCTAATCCTAGCTATGGGGAGGCAGAGGAAGGTGATCTGAGTTCAAGGTCAGCCTGGTCAACATATTTAATTCCAAGCTAGTTAGGACTACAGAGTGAGACCCTGTCTCAAAAATAAAAAATAAAAAGAGCTTTTGATGTGTATATGCCAGTAAAAGTGTAGATTATCCTGATGTGCTTGGCAGTCCTTCCATCCTTCATCTGGGCCCACCTTGTGTAAACAGATGTTTCTGACTCACCAGCAACTCCCAAATATCCAGCAGCCACTTCCCAAATAATCACTCAGAGGCTTAATATAAATTATAAATGCTTGGCCAGTAGCTCAGGCTTATTACTTTCTAAACTTTCTAACTAGCTCTTATACTTAAATTAACTTATAATTTTTATCTATGTTTAGCCATGTGGCTTGGTACCTTTTCTCAGTATGGCATTCTCACCTTGCTCCTTCTGTGTCTGGCTGGTGACTCCTGACCCTGGTCTTTTCCTTCCCAGCATTCTCAGTTTGGCCGCCCCGCCTATACTTCCTGCCTGGCTACTGGCCAATCAGTGCTTTATTAAACCAATTTGAGTGACAAATCGTCACAGTGTACAAGAGGATTATTCCACAGCATCCTAGTCCCCGGTCTGACTTACAGAACTTTGCTTAGTTGGCGTTTTCTAGGGTTTATGAGAACAAATCATACAGTATGTACTTTTTTATACCTATCTTATTTTTCTTTTTTTTTTTAATGATGTATTTTTATTTTACATGTATTGGTGTTCTGCCTGCATGTATGTCTATATGAGGGTGTCAGATCCCCTGGAACTGGAGCTGCAGACAGTTGTGAGCTGCCATATGGGTGCTGGGAATTGAACCCGGGTCCTCTGGAAGAGTAGCCAGTGCTCTTAACCTCTGAGCCATCTCTCCAGCCTCCCTTGTTTTTTCTTTTGAGACTTAGTCTCCTATGTCCTGAGCTGGCCACAAACTCAATAGTGTGTCTAATGGTGATCTTAAACTTGTGACCCTCCTGCCTCTAATTTGGAAGTGCTGGAATTAAAGGTATATACCACCCACCACACCTGGTTTTCAGTGCTGGAGGTCACTCCTTGAGCTTCCTGTATGATGATTTCACCTGAGCCACATCCTCAGCCCCACCTGTCTCTACACCAAATAAAGATCATTTGGGGACTTACCCAGGTTCCTACGTGCCACATTTTACTCATTCACCGGTTATGAACCTTAGGGTTCTCCATGTTTAGCTATTACAAATAAAGTTTCAAGTACTTTACTTGGTTTTTATTTTGTTTTGTGTTTTGCTGTTGTTCTGCACAGTTCTGAGGAAAGATTGAGTAAGCTTTGAAAGCCCAGTTTCTAAATTCTGACTCAGTGTCCAGGAGGGCTTAGCTCTGGAGAAGGAGTCAAATGGCTGGATCATACAAAGTGTGTGTTCAGTCTTTCCAGAAATGGCCTCTTTTCCCAAGGGGTTATACCATGTCAGATTACCATACGTTTGCTGTAATCCACAGCGCACTGTCTTTCACTGAGCGACTACTGTGTCCTGGCCGTCACTGTTGTATTGCTCTGAAGAGACACTGACCACAGCAATTCTTCAAGGGAGAGCATCTAACTGGGGGCTTGCTTACAGTTTCAGAGGCTTAGTCCATTATCATCATGGTGGCGGGCATGGTAGGCATGGTGCTGGAGACATGGTTGAGAGCTACACTCTGATCCGTAGGCAGAGTGCAAGACTATGTCTGGCATGGTTTTCCAAGAGTTCAACTCCCTGACGGCTATAAACATTGAGAAGTAGGAGCCTATGGAAGCCGTTCTTATTCCAACCACTACAACCTGTGTTTGTTTTCAAGTCAGTTACTTGTACTTATACATCTGACTTTTCCATTGCCCTCCATTCCTTTGTCCAAATGCAAGTTTTCCCCTTGGAATGTCATTTTCCTCTGCTTGAAGAGGTCAGCACCTGTCGGGGTATACTGGTGACAGACACTCGAAACTGGTGTTTGCCTGGAAAGTCAGTTTGCCTTCCCTTTTACGGGGTGTTGCTGGCTGAAGACTCCAGAGTTGGCGCCTTCTTACAGCGCTTTAGTGTGGCCTCTGTTCTCTCCCTGTGTGCTTTCTGCTGAGACCACCTTGTTCTGCCCAGTGACTTGTTGTCCTGTGGCTTGTTTTCCTTTAAGATTTTGTTCTTGTCAGTGGTTTTCAACAATTTGATTATATCTCAGTGTGGGCTTCTTTGTATTTTCTGGTGTTTTTGAGATAGGTTCTCTCTGTAGCCCTAACTGGCCTGGCGCACACTATGTAGACCAGACTGACCTCAAACTCACAGAGATCTGCTGCCTCCACCTCCCAAATGAAAGCAGCTTTTTTTTTTTATAATATCGAAAAATCATAAGCAGCTTATATGGTCGCCAACAGGAGAATAAATTAACTATGGTATATTTATACAGTGGAATATTAGCCACTAATTTTTAAAGGAGTGAAATAACTTTTTCCATGTAGTGACAGAAAAACACATTTGCAATGTTGAGTAAAAGCCAGGCTGTGGTGCACGCCTTTAATCCCAGCACCAGGAGGCAGAGGCAGGCGGATCTCTGTGAGTTTGAGGCCAGCCTGGTCTACAGAGAGAGATCCAGGACAACCAGGTCAGTTATACAGAGAAAGCCTGTCTTGGAAATCAACCAACAAGCAAAAAATGTTGAGTAAAATAAGCCAGGCACAAAAATATATATATACACTATATGTGTTTGTGTGTGTTTATATGAAATTCAAGGGTAGGTAAAAATCAGTAAAGGCATTGGCGTGCAGATGAGACTGACTAGTAACAGTGTTGAAAGTACTTTCCAGAGAGTTAGGAATAACCCACGCCTAATCTAGGCAGTGCGTAATACCCTGATGTGCTAGACAAGGCTCCTCACCTCATGAAAGCCAACCATTAGAATTTTGCAAGTTGTTGATCGTATGTGGATAGCTTCAAATTGATCGTGGTAGGCCTTTGAGCAACATGAAAATTTGTAAATGGTTTATGTCTTTATTTTACGTCCATGAACGTTTTGCCTGCGTGTACATCTGTGCAGCGCAATGCCCTCAGAGGCCAGAGGATGTCAAATTGCTCCGGAACTGTAGTTAGAAATGGTTGTAAGCCTCCATGTGGGTGCCAGGGATTGAACTTGGGTCCTCTGGAAGAGCATTTTGGTTTGGTTTGGTTTTGGCTTTTCGAGACAGGGTTTCTCTGTAGCTTTGGAGCCTGTCCTGGATCTCGATCTGTAGACCAGGCTGACCTTGAACTCACAGAGATCTGCCTGCCTCTGCCTCCTGAGTGCTGGGATTAAAGGTGTGTGCCACCACCGCTTGGCAGTAGCCAGCATTCTTAACGCTGAGTCATCTCTCCAGCCTCAAGAAGTTTGGTTGGCACACATTTACCAGCATGTCACTTCTCACTGCTGATCACTCCTTGGCTTCTGATGGTCAAAGGAGCTTGCAGGGGAATGATGGGACCAGGAAGGTACCAAGAGTACTCTCCTCTGGCCTAATCCCAGTCAATAGTGACAAGCCAGCGTCGTCTTTGCCATTTCACCTAAGTAAAGCTGCTTGTTGACTGTGTTCCTGAGATCAGTTATTGCCTGGTGTTTGCTTTTTCCATCCTAACGTTAGTGAAACTGCTTTCTGTCAGCGTTTGAAACAGTGACTGAGCACACCATGGCCTTTCTATAGACTCCTTCAGACATGGTGCTTTTGATTTTAGTCAAAGTCTTACTTTTTGTTTCTGCTTCTTTAGGAGCATTCTGGAAGAGTTTTCCGACTCCAGTTTGATGAATTCCAGATTGTCAGTAGTTCACATGATGACACAATCCTCATCTGGGACTTCCTAAATGATCCAGCTGCCCACGCTGAACCACCCCGCTCCCCTTCTCGGACATACACCTACATCTCCAGATAAATAACCCAACACTGACCTCCTACTTGCCCGGGTATGAAAAGAGCTGTGTGCATGGCGCTGTGGTAGAGATGGAGTGTTGGCTGTGAAGCACTGCCAGCTCCTGGGAGTTTCTCCTTCTCAGACCAAGAGAAGTCTCACCAAGCCCTATGCAGCAGAAAGGCAGAATCAGACAGCATGAGCTGGGGCAGGGACTGTCCCTGTGAGCACCACTTTCACTGGTAGAAGGGAGCCAGTTCCAGTTCTAGAAGATTCTAGAGTTCTTATGTAGTAGTACTAATAGTTCTACTAGTAGTTCAGTACAATTTTTATGAAAGTAAAATGACATTTGAGCCAGTTGAAAATGAATGGCCCAAAAGCTTGTAATTGTATAGTTCTTAGAGCAGTTGCCTACAAGGGAGGCCCCTTCAGTCTGGCAATTCATCTAACATGTGACTGGAAGTGTCTCTAGCTGAAATGTGCCTTGTCGGTCTCCCTGGGAACAGAAGGCAGCCTTTTTGTCCCACTCCCCTCCATCCACAGGGGATTTCCCGCTTGGTTGGTTGGTTGGTTAATTGGTTGATCCTCAGCAGTAACATGAAGTTGGGTATCCTCCCCAAGTCTCTAGCACCTCTCTAAAATGCCCAGGTATTGTTGATGAGTGCGTTTGCAGTTGGCATCCGGTGCCATCACTGGTTCAGATATGCTGGGTTATTGAGTTCTAAGAAGGGCATCAGCTTTGGTGCATTGCCTCCGTGTGCCTTTCTGTTTCTCACACTTGCCTTGGTTGTTAGAGCAGGCATGCCTCTCACTGCACCCCTGTACCTCTGTCAGTCTTCCGGAGGGAGTGCGCTGGCCTCTGGGGTTTCCCCTGTGTCTCTGCTGTTGTAGAAGACACAGCTGGTCCATCAGTCCTCAGCTCAGTCACACTGGCTTGTCAGTTCACCAACTGTTCTATCCTGATGAGTGAAATGAGGAGGCTAGAGCCTACCTCACAGGCCAGGTTCTTAGTCCTCACATGTCCCGAGCCCTTTGTGAAGGTGTCCATGGTTAGGGAGCCTCTGATCGCCGTGTGCCTTGTCTGCTCTTTCCGCCAATGTTTGGGTTTTTTCCAATGTGATAGTATTTTGCTATTGGGGTGGGGGCTTCTAGGTATTGAGTACCTGGCCTGACTCATGCTAAACACGTTTAACCATGGAAATGTGCCCCTGACCCTCACTGTTACTGTCTCCCCAACTTGGTTTACATCTCTTTCTCCTCTCACTGCTGAAACAGGCATCCCTTGAGAAGCTGGCTCAGTCTTTTATGACTCATCTACGCTCTCTTCTTGGGCTATCTTATCTTTTTCCATGACTTTAGCTCTCACTTCAACAGATGACTAGCAAATTTTTATCTTCACTATCACCCTCTGCCTTAATCTCCAGGCCACATTTCCAACCACCACCTACACATCTGTCCTTGAAGAGACCAGGAGCACTTTCAGTGTCTCCATACACAGTTCCTTAATCCAGGTCCCAGCCAGCTTCCGGCCAGTCCACACTTCTTACAGAGATACCACTGGGCTCCAGGACGGTCAAGCAGAGCCTCGGAGCCCCATCCCTACCTGCTCTGCTGTTCCAGGCAGCGGGGGACAGCATGGCATCATTCCAGCCATTGTTCACTCTTAAATCTTAGGATATCAGAGTGCCTCTGCACAGCGCCTCTGTACCCTGAGCACAGCACTAAGCCCTGTCCTTTGTGTAAGTCCCCAAGGAGACTGTGACAGAAGCACTCTGTGGGCAGGGAGCAGCCCTTGGGAAGGACCCCAAGCCTTCCTCATTGACAGCCACACGAACATTCTTTTTGTCTTAGAGCAAGTAAAAATTACAAGGAAGGGCTAATGACTGTTGGCTGTATTTCCACACAGGACTCGTTAAGGTTGCAGTATTTAACATATCTGCCAAGACCAGGATGAACAACAACAATCACATTCCTACCCGGATTCCCCGGATGGGTCAGCGAGGCGCAGGGCTTTGAGACTCCTGTTGGGACACAGTCGGCCAGCAGCTGACCAGGATGGTCTGCTTGGCACTCGGCTGCCACAGTGCTGCTATCAGAAGATGTCTTTATCTTGTGTGAATGATTGGAACTTTTAAGACTCCCTTCCCGTTCCCTCCCTTCCCTCTGCACCTGTTTCTCCCCCCATTGGGTTCCAGACAAAGATGACTTATAAATATATTTAGTGTTTTTGCCAGAATCTCTCTTGCTTTGCCATCAAGCAGAAGAACTAGTTTCCCCATCTGGCCCACTTCTAGGGGACAGGGGCTGCAGCTTCCAGGCAAAGAATGCCTGGCCTCTCCCTGTTAACTGCAGGAGTGTCCAGCACCTGGCCAGAGCAGTCGGGCCACTGCGTGGGAGGAGACAGCTGCCTGCACATCTTAGAGGAGAGAGGGACACACACTGGAAGATCTGCACCTGCTGCCTCCCTCCCCTGTCTGGGTTTCTGTCCCTCTTGCCTCCTCTCCTCCTCCATCTTCAGCCTGAGAAGGTGTGTGAAGTGTCCTCATCTAGCATGAGGCGGATCACCTAGAAAATGTGACACTTGGGATTCCGAGTTTGAGTGTATCCTAATTTCCAGGCTTTTGCTGCAAGTGACCCCTGGGGCAGCAGTGACTCATGAACATGACACTTATCATGTCTGCAGCTTTCTCTCTCCTCCTCCTCCTCCCTGTGCCGGGGGGGGGGGGGGGGGGGGGGGGGGGGGGAGACACACGGGATGGGAATGTCCTGGGCGCCATCAGTGGTTGTGTTTGCTCTGGACTCAGCAGTCTTCTCGGTTCCATGTAGAGTGGAGAGGAGCTGCTGATTGCATTTCCTCTCATTAACAATTAGATGTGTAATAAAAAGCATTGTGCTTCATCTTAAATCACTGGCAAGGCTTGGCCTGCAGAAAGGCCTGGAATGGCCGGCACCAGGCTGGTTATCACTGCACTTTGTACCGTGGCTCACATCTGTTTCCTGGATTGAGCCAGAAAGCACCCAGGCACCTGTAACAGCCTAGGCTGAGCACAACAGATGACCTAGAGATGGTCAGGAAAAAAGCTGGTTCTCCGTTTAGGCCAGGAACTGTCTGTCTAACCGTCTCAGCCTTGCGTTGCAGACCCTTCGGCTTCCCCAAAACCCAGTATCTGCAGAAAGGCAAGGCTGCCAGAGGGGATCAGGGTGAAGCTTGGCACACAGGGTTACTAGTAAGTGGGAGGTGCCTTCTCTTCCTTTCCTTCTCCCTGCTTTATTTTGCTGTCCACTTTCCCTAGCAGTAAACTCTGGCAGTCAGTGAAAACATTAGCAACTGGACTCTCAAGGGCAGGGTTAACCTGGCCTGTGGAAGGCAGGACTGGGCCTCTGCCAGCAGGCTCCAGGTGCAGAGGCCCGTGGGCAAACCTAGGAGAACTTGAACTGAGAACTAAGTCACTTTCCTCAAGCGTGCATGGGCCCGCCAAGGGGTGGTTTAGGCATCTTTGGGGTCTGGGGCCACAGTATAGCCTCCCGTGCTTTTCCCTTGGAAACCAAGGGTCAGACTCTCATCGCTGTTCCCAACCACACATTGGAGTTTTAAAAAGCCAACTGAACCAGCTGCTATGAAAATAGAAATGAGGGCCAGTCACAAGTGACCTACAGCCAGCCCACCGTCACTTCAGCAGGAGAGGGAAAAGGAACATCTTCTTTCTCTGGTTTGCAAGTCGTCTCTTACCCAACATGTCCTCTGAGTGAATGTCGTTACGTGCTGAGTCAGGTCGTGTGTGTTCAGTTTGCCTTTTCCTGTGTAACTGCGATCTCAAGTTATATCTAAGAAATCTCTCTCCATATACATTTCTCCTTCCCCAACCACCTACATGCTACGGAGTCCTCCAGGTAGCGCCGATCTGAGCTCCTATCTGTTCAGGTGACTATTAATAGTGAAGGACTTTGCTGAAAATCAGGTCAGATGTTAAGAGACCTAAGCTGCTTCAAGAAATGGTCTAGTGGCCATAACTTGACTAGCCCTTCAGTGATGTGCTGCTTTAAAAAGTAGGAGCAGGAGAACATCTGCCTAGTGTCTGAGGCCCTGGACTGGATGCCAGGGTTAGCGGGGGATGTGGTTACTACTGCAGACTCGGTGGTGCTGGGACTGTGCTCTCCTTCCCGGGTTCAGCTGAAGGTGCTGCTCGGAAGCCAGTTGAGAAGTGTGGCCACCCACTGTGCTTGGGCTCGGGTGGACCCTGCACGTTCAAGCCTGTAGCTTGGTTAAGCTTTTTCTCCAGGTTGTCCTCTACTGCTGATGGAAATGGGAATGCAGTTAAGTGGTCTGAGAAACTTGAATCACTCACATTTCTCAGCTCTGGGGGTCATTTACCAGTTCATTGTAGAAGAAACAATCAGGTAAGTGGAAGTTCATTTCCAGAGAAGGTAAACCCCACTTACCATCTCTGCATGATTTCAGTGGGAATTGATTATCAGCAGTCCCCAACTGGGCGAGAATAAATGTAAAGTTTGACCTTTTTAAAAAGAAAAGAGAAACAAAGAACACCTCAACACATTTAAAGGAATAGTAGACAAGCTGCAAGTGCCCTGTGGCTCTGAGATGAGTGTCCCCATGGTCTCTCTCTCTCTCTCTCTCTCTCTCTCTCTCTCTCTCTCTCTCTCTCTCTCTCCTCTCTTTTTTTTTTTTTTTTACTAAAATCTACTTTCCAATGTAAACCTCGAAAGACCTCTCCTATAGATAGCTGGAAGCCTTCTTAGGCATATGAGCATATGCACAGGGTACCCTGCTGGAGAATGTGACCTCTGTGTCACACTGGTGATGTCTGGGCAAGGCCAACATGCCTTGCTGCTTTGTGTGTGTGTGTGTGTGTGTGTGTGTGTGTGTGTGTGTGTGTGTGTGTGTGTGTGCGCACTCGCATGCTGCTGCTGGGAACATCCTTTCCCTTGAAGTGCAGTTAGAAAGTGGATGTGAATTATGGATGGGAAGCCTTTTACACTTGTCCCTTGGCTAAATTCTTTCTGATTCGTCCTAACTTTAGAGACAGAGACTGTTTGGAACTCTGTTGACAAGTAATCAAGTCTGGCCCTCGTAGCTTATTTTGGAACTGGAAATGACATTGAGACTCCTAAATCATTCTGTAAGAAAAAGAAAGACGAAACCATTTGTTTTTAGTGATCCGAAGCTGAGGAAAAGGCTGCCTGCACTCATCCACTCACCTTCTCTTGCTGGCTTCCAGTCTGAGAGGCCGGGCTTGATCTACTTGCTTAGCATTTGACTAGAGCAGAGAACACTGAAAATGATTAGGCCCATGGTGGTGGCGATTGTCTTAGCATCTCCCTTTTGAGGTAGGTGGTGATACCTTCTGGTTCTGAATGTGAGCAGGCCCACCCGGATCAGTGCAGGCCCACAGGCTAGGTGCAGATGTGTTCCGAAGTATCAGGTAGAATGAGGCATGCAGGTACCCAGTCACTGTGACTGCAGTCCATGTGGGGGTGATCGGTTTACAGTGTAACTTTGGTCCACGCTAATCTCCAGCCCCATTCAGTTAAACTCAGCCATTTCGGATGCACCCAGAGACTTCCAGTAGGATCAGTCCTAGGAGTCACACACACACACATGGTCCTGGCAGTGCAGAGCCCTTTTAACCACAGCACAGTCGGTACCAGTGAGGCGGCATCTCGGGAATAAAGCTGAGGAGAGAGACCAAAGCAGCAGGACTGTGGCTGCCTGCTTGCGGGCAGAATCGACTGCATTGCTGCCCAGAAACCTCTGACGCTGGCAGCCCTGTCTCAAGACAAAGTAACCCGGTGCCTGTGGGCTGACATTCCCTGGAGGCAGCTGACTTCCCAAATATGTACTTCCCAACAAATTGTTAGCTGGCTTAGCTTCTGAGTGTGTGTTGGGGAGGGGGTTGTGGACAGAGATGATGTGCGTTACCTCCCCTCCTGAACCTTCCCCTTGGATGCTGAAGGAAAAGTCCAACAGGTTAGATCTCTGGGTACCAAGGAAGCTGATACCTTCCCAGAGCAGTGATCCTTGAGCCTTGGCAAACTCACTGAGGGTTTCAGTGACTCCAGCGGGGACAGGCCTGGCAGCAAGTATGAGCCGGGGTGAGTGCTTTTGGTGGTTCGCTTTTCCTAGGCTCTCCAGTGCTGACTGCTTTCATTTTTGTGATTATGTTCTGGTGATGTGTAGTCAATGTACCAATATGTTCACAAGCTAGCACCATGGTAATAGTGTGTTTGCTTTTTTAACTGTTTGGGGGAAAGTCAATTACAAATACAAGATTAAAGTGAATTTTCTAAGTGTCTTCTCTCTTTGACCCAACATCATATGGATGTGAGTTTTCAGTATACAGATCAAAGAACTATACGGTAGAATATTTCTTTTATGAGACAACCAGGTCAAGAGCCAGATGTGATAGCACATGGCACTAATTCCAGCATGGGGAAGCAGAGGCAAGTGGATCTCTTGAGTTCCAGGCTGGTCTGGTTTTCATAGTTCTGGGCCAGCCAGGCCTGTGTAATGAGACCCTGCATCAAAAAACAAAACCAAGGTCTGGCCAGTTGCGCGCACTGGACTTGGGAGGTCGAGACAGGAGGTTCTTGAGTTTAAGGCTACATGGCAAGATCCTACCTTAAGAAGGCAGGGGAAGAAAAAACCAGGACTGAGTGTTGTAAAGGGAGAGTCCCGGCATACAGGTCATCGGGTGCTGGGTCGTGTTGAAGCGACAGTGAGGTCTGACTTGTAAGTTGCTCGTCACTGTGGTGACCCATCACAGCCCCATCCTGGACCTTGAATTTGAGCTTTCCTCTGCTGTTGGACGGAGGCCGCTCCGCCCCTTCACTCGTTCACTCCCAAGTTCCCTAGCCTTCAGGAGCATTGCCAGAGAGACTCACAGGCCACTTGGGGAGCCCTCTTCTCCCCCAGGACCAGTATACGGAAATAAGCACAAGATGAAGGCCGCGGCAGGAATGGACTGCCTTCTGCTGCCCTCTCCTCTGTGATGACCTCAGCAGGACTCTTGTCAGAGCTGATTCATCTGTGGGTTGAAAGCTTTATAGAAAGCTCTAAGCTTCTAGTGTAGGCTCCCTCAGCTGTGGCCTCACTCTCTGTCTTACCCGGATAGTCACTGTGTTCCCTAAGGTAGCCTTGGCCAGTGGTCAATGTCACCAGCTTCCACTGAACTTAGAGAGTGGCAGTGTAAGGACACCTCATCTTATGCAGGTCTTCAATGCCCACAGCCACATCTGCTCCCTTAACAGGCAGCACCCCAGAGAGTTGCAAGTTGGGGGTCAGCAAAGAACCCTCTGCAGCTACCTACCAGCAGCTACTAGACGAGGCCTGACCAGCCTGACTCCTAAGCCCAGGACAAAATGGAAGGCCGTGGGCCTAGGCTTCAAGTGCAGTGTCGGCCCTGTCCCCAGGTGAAGGTACAGGGCCTGTTCCAGGAGACAGCCCTTGGGCTACCCTCCCTAAGGCTAGGTTCTGGTCCCTCTTCGCTTTAAACCTAGGGCTGGGTAGCCATCAGCACTGACTAAGAAGAGAGTTTGCTTCTTCCTGATTGGCTCTTGCCAATTAAGAGCATTTTATTAGGCTGCTAATTAAAGGCACTTCGTTAGCAGCAGGAGAGGCCGGGTGGGTGCCTGGTGAGATGGAGCCGAAGCCAGGAGAAATTGTTTTCCTCCCCCATGGAAGCAGAGCCTCTCTGAGGCTGTGGTCCCCCAACCTTTCCTGCTGCGCCTACCACGCCCCTTGCTTTCAATTAGTGGCTCCGAGGGGAGTGAGGTCATTACCAAGCCCAGGTCCAGAGCCCCCACCACTACCTCAGGCCACAGGAGGCCCTTAGGAGCTGTCCAGGTCCCCAAGCAGCCCAAGGGAAGGTGGTCCTTTACTCTCCATGCCTCTAGTGAATGTCATGTGATCCACATGACTGAGTCTGCCCCCAACAGTCACCGAACAGAAGACAGGATGACAGTCGACCACATAACTTTTCCTCACCAAAAGACTCACGTTGCATGTGGCATGATTTCTATCAGGAAGAGACTGTCCCCACCACCATAGATAGAGCCTCCATGGGCCCTGAGTAGGTCCAGGTGGAGGGACTGGTGGCTGTGGGAATTTTGTGGGGCTCTTATTTCAAGAGCTGGGAAGAGAACCCGGGGCCTTGCACATACCAGGCAAGTGCTGTAGCACTGAGCTGTGTGCATAACTATGTATAACCATGTAGCCATGTGCATAACCCTGCTTCTTGCTCAGATGGCCCTAATGGCCCAGCTAGGCTTTCGGCGAGCCTTTCCTTCCTGCCAGAGAGCAGGACTTGGCTGTGACCTGGCGCATGGGGGCTGGCATACAGGGTCATCAAGGACATCCACTCTCCAGAGCTCTCCTCACCTCTTCACTTAGCTGCAGAATTAGCACCAGGCCAGGCTGGGAGGGCAGATTTATGGCTGGGCCCGCCTCTCTCCATTTAACCCTAGGCCGGCCCAGGCTCCAGACACTAAATTAGATTTTTGACAATTAGAGAGACTAATGGGCACACAGCCATCCCCAGAGCCAGATATCCAGCAAGGCCTTCCTATAATATCTACCACTGGATCATCACCCTCCCCCACCATCCCTCTGGTCTCCCATGAGGTGGCATCTCCTGCTCCACGCTCTGCGCTCTGGAGGGTCACCTGCTTCCCCCTCTCATCCCCTGGCCCAATGCTGGTTGGCTCTGGTCCTTTGCTCTACTGTCCTGTCTTTCTTGCCTTCAGATCGCCTCCCTCCATCCCCACCTTTCCCAGGCCCATCCATCTGTGATCTGTCCCACCACCAAGAACAGACTGCAAGCCCCTTGAGGGCAGGGCCTGCACTGTGCCCTGTCTCAATCCTAAATTTAGTTCAGCACCCCACAGTGCTTGCTAAGTATCACCCAAGCTCCTGCATCCTTTCCCTCCGTCCTCCTGAGCCCCTGGATCGCCATGACTCCTGTGACCTTACCCTCGGGATCTTGGGCTGGGTCCCCTTTCCTGCTGGGCCCTCTGCTCTGGCCAGCCTTAAGCTGGGTGGTAATGAGATTGCAGTAAGAGGCGCTGGGGGGGGGGGGCTGCTCACACTCACTCAGGCAGACTCATAGCTCTGTCAGGCTGATTGGTCCTGAGTGGAGGCACAAACGGCCCCCCATGGACACGCTGAGATTGGTTATAAAATTACAAGCATTTGTCCTGCTGTCAGTGGTCCCTCCCTCCCCTCTGCCTGCCTGCCAGTTCCTGGCTCCCCACCCATCCTCTCTCCCCTGGGGCCAGTCCGCACACCCTGAAGAACTGGCTAGGGGCCACCACAGCATATAGGACTGAAAGGCTGAGGCCACCAACTCTCCACGACCAACTAACTGTCCATCAGGATGATCACAGCTCTGGCTGGTCTCAGATGACCTCATCCTGTGCTCAGGCTTCCTAGTCTCTGAATGGGGTAGGGCCCCAGATAAACAGGTCTTAGAGCCCTCAAGAGAAGAAACAGGGTCTCAGTGCGCCTCCATGGGACAACCAGTGTCCTCTCCAGAAGGGAGGAGTGATGGGTAGCAAGGGCCTGCTGTACCGAAGGAGGAAGCAACAGAAGCCAGAGTGGCCATGGGAAGCCAGCTCTCCTCCGTGCAGGTGGCCAGTCAGCTACCTAGTTACCGGAACTCTCCAACCTCTACCACCCCTTGCCGTGGTCGCAGGAGTCTGGGCCAGACCAAAGGCCAGCATGGCCCAATAGAGCCTTGCTGTGCTTTCTCACAGCAGCTCGGTCCCCGGGCCAGATCTCTGCGTACACCCATTGAGCCTGGGCAAGAGCCTAGATACCCCCAGCATGTGCTCCTGGAAATTTCTAACAGCCCTTGGGGCCTCCTGTAGCCTCAGGTATCCCTGGGGGCTCTCAGTTGGGCTTATAATGATTTACTCCCCTCTTCTAACTGCAAGGGCCCTTGTCTCTGGGGTCCTGGCCTCAAGATCTACTGACCAACTTTGATATTCCAGCCAGACCTTGGTCCTTGTCTGTATCCCCAGCTACAGCCTCGGTCCCAATCCACATGTCCCAGGAGCCCTGTAGTCAGCCTGGCTTCTCAGCTCCAAGGGGGAGCTTATGGGAGCAGCAGCTGGCTGCTGGCCACAAGGTGCCTTCCTGCCACTCATCATCCATTCTCAGCCCAGGATGTATTTGCTGTCATTATATCTTTAATTAGGGTGGTGATGGCTCATTGTCCACCAACGGTGATGGAGCAGGGCCTCCTGTTAACTATCATCCCTGTCCAGAACCCCAGGTCAACTCTCCTCCTGCTTTGAGGGTGAGAAGGGAACCAGAGAACCAACTCTCTGTCCTCTGAGTCCCAGGCCCGGAGTAGGCACAAGATCCGATGCCCTCTTGGATCCCTGTGAGTTCCCAAAGTACTTGAGAGACCTGATACCTCCACCCAGGGCACCTATAAAGAGGCTGCAGGGTTCCTGGCCACCAGATGTCTTCTCGGTCCAAACTGGCCAGATACTGCCTTCAGACTGACCACCCCACCCCAACACAGGTGCCACACCATGGTCCCCAGACACAGCACATTAAGCCTCAAGATTCCCAGCTTGGTGGCCAGAACTCCCTTAGTGATTCATGCCCTTTGCCTAAGGTGGGATCCTCCACTGCCCTTACATGTACACTTCGGGCCACCGGGTCTGACTCTCCAGCCCCAGGGCTCAGATGGTAGATGTGTTCCTCCTCCCTGGAGGCCACAGGGGGCCTTGCTAGGCACGGGCTGAAGGTCCTGGGACAAACATAAGGCCTCCAGACCCCTAGGAGGCTGTAGTGCCACCAACTCAATTCTGGGTTAAAACCACAGCTTGGCATTTACTGGCTGGGTGACGCTGGGTGAGTTCCCTGACCTCACTTACAAAATGGGCATAAGAGGAGCGTGCTACCACATATAGGAGCCATGAAAAAAAAAAAAAAATCACCCAGAGGCTGGGAAGGGTGGTTCACACCTTTAATCCGAGCACCACAGGTGGATCTCTGTGAGTTTGAGCCAGCCTGGGCTCCATAGTAAGACCTGTCTCAAAAACAAAAATTAAAAAATAATAATATTAATCCCAGCACTCGGGAGGCAGAGCCAGGCGGATCTCTGTGAGTTCGAGGCCAGCCTGGACTACCAAGTGAGTTCCAGGAAAGGCGCAAAGCTACACAGAGAAACCCTGTCTCGAAAAACCAAAAAAAAAAAAAAATATAAATAATAATAATAATAATAAAGCACCCAGGCTTGTGGTACCCATGGCAGAGAAAGATGGGGTCTA